AATATAGTATTTTGAAACTGAGCTCATATTTGGAAAGTTCAAAATTTTGAACTTTAATTTAAAAATAAGTTTATTTATCTTGTGCTGCTAATAGGGATAGCAAATTGTAATTATATGGAAAGTTATGAAGCGGTATACTGCGGAAGCATTGATAACCCTTTGTAGAATTTTTGAGATATTGAAAGATAGATGTTAATTCTTCATTTAGTAATGAAGGGTTATTATTTAGAAGGCAATTAAACACTTCTTGAAAGTCTAAACTCAAAAAATTTAAAAATATTTCATTTTTTATCCATTTAATAGATTTACTTCAATTAATAGTTCTAATTTTCTTACAAAAATAATAAAGAAATAATCAAAAATTTTTCCAAACCAGCTGGCTAATGCTTTGTCCATTTTAGAATACCCCAAATATCTCCTAAAAGGTAATGATCAAAATCATACCTAGTATCATTTTCCTGCTAATGAGCCCAAATCGATTTCCAAATAGGCCTTGAAAAATGACTTCAATTTTTATCAATTACTTATTTTAATTTTAAGAGAATTCTTTACAATTAGTTATATTATATCCTCATAGAATGTCTCAATCTCTCCAATATTTTTTATTAAATAAATGTACAAATTAATAATTCAATATTTGAATTATTATAAAGGCCAAAAGTATAATTTAAAGGATATTTGTATAAAGATAAGCTGAATTTCCTTCTTCCTACTCTCTAACTTGGGCCAGTGTAAGGAATCGAAGTTTTTGACTAAGAAAATCCATTTAATACCATGGGGAGGGAAATTAAATTCTAGAAGGTTGATCTCTAAATAATTGCAGTTGCTCAATCCATAGGTGAAATCAAAACAAATTTATAAACTTAAATCGTCAAGTTCTTTCTAAAATTTATTAGAAGTTGTTTTATTTCTTAATATACCCGAGCTTCTTGCATAATACAAAATAAAGATAATAATAAAATATTTTATTTGCTTTTATAGGCAGAAGTAACGAATTTCTTAGTTTGGAATCACGAAAGAAAATATGGATCTAACTACTCCTCCAATTTTGCACACTTAAATTCAATATATTATTACACTATATTATGATTATGTAAAATCCACAAGGTTTTAAATTACTAAGAAACCAAATTTTATTATTTAAAATTTGTTAGATTAGTTCTAAGTTCGAAATAAACCCAGAGACATATTTTATAATAAAATCATTAAATCAACTAAAATAAAGAAATTGCATATTTTCTCAATAAGAGTTATAATAATGAAATGCATTTATTTATTATTATATACTCATACTTTAATCTAACTTCTTAGCTAAAAGAATAACCATAAATGGTATCTCTTTATCAAATGCTTATTTCATTCATATGATTAAATGATCCAAGCATTATCCTTTCGCAGCAATGATTTAACATTTTAATTTTGAAATATTCATTCGTTTTGAATTGAATTAAGAAACCCTGTTAAATTTTAACTAGTTTTAGGATTCATTCATTCTATGTGCATCCGTAAATCTTCTATATCAAAATGACATTAGCCAACAGCTATTGATAATACTGAATCAATAATTAGCATTCTCATTCTCAGCTAAACATGCTTATAATTTAATAGCCTTCCAATTATATGAAGAGGTGAGTGAAGTCATATCAAATTAAACAAATATTAAAAGAGGGGAAAATCCAATCACTTGTTGCACTCTAAGGCTGATTGAGTAGGAGACACAGCAAAAGCATTGATTAATCAAGATTTGATGTGGTGTCTGTTATTGAATAAGAGAGTTCGAAAGATATTTGTAGACTGTCCTTTATGTTCCATTCTAAAGATTACAGTTAGTGTTTTATTTAGATTTTAGACAAGAAAATCATGTTAAATGTTAAAGTTTAAGGCTGTCAGATCTATTATTTATTCATTTCAATAATCATGTTGTGAGAAGAAATTCAAATTAAAGTAAATTGATTGATTTGAAAAATAAAACTAAATAAGGAATGAAACTCCTTACCAGATATATCATTAACAGATATATATATATATATAAGTAGGAGTATGAAAATCACTTAAACAAGAATAACAATAACCCTTGTTATTCCTAAGGGCATCTTGAATAGTCATTTCCATCCTCCTGAACATTTTATGAATTATAGCTCTTTTTTTGTTAAGCTGTATTGTCCAACCATCTTAGGGTCTAGATGCATTTTGGTCTGTTTGTATACCTAAATTATTCTAGAACTAATAAAACTTCTAGTAAAAGGACAGGATAGAAATTTCACCTGAATTGTCTTGGACCTCTTGATGAATATCTAATCATTTTATTTATTACCTTGCAGTTTACCATCAAAGTTTAAGCATTTATATCATTTCCAAAGTCATAGGTTCTTTTTGTTTGAGATACACTAAACAGGTTTTCAAATGTAATTTAATTGATTATTTAGAAAAAAATGCTTCGAGTAATTGAAGGCCTTATCAAAATTCTATTTTAATGCTTCCACTAAGCATCATTCAGATAATAAATTCAGTTTTACCTAAATTAGTAAACATAGATTTCCTTGTAAATTCAAATTAAGCTTCCTAATCAATCCCTTGGCCTTGGGAAATATATTTATAACTGAATTTTTCATTTTTTAGACCATTAAGCAGAAAATCTTAAGAAATTCAGCTTTCTAATAACCAAAATCAAGTTGAAGTTAAGTAGATTATGTTTTTAAATTACGATTTTGACTTAATTCTGATAAAATAGAAGGGAACTTATAACATAATCCCTAGTAGATCACAAATTGAAGGCACAAAGGGATTCAGAAAATCTACCACAATCGCCTTTTTCCTGGAGCTAATCTTTCATAAAAGTTCCAAACTCTTCTAAATCAATCATCATCTTCGATATTCCACAATTATTTTAAGTCATTTTATTTTATGCATCTACTTAACGGATGAGCATTGATTATCGTTTTTGCCTCTTCAGCTCGTTATTGTTTACATAACTTATATGCGATGATTGACTAAAGTTTACTGAAATAGAATCAATCTAGAACAAACATTTCTATCTTTTTTTTATCTTGGAAATTTGTTGAGGAAATTTAAGGAGAACTTTAACAGGAGTTAAGTCACCATAAGGCTTAATCCCCATAACAGTTTTAAACTAAGAACTGAAGAAGGAGATATTGAAGGCATCCATCGAAGTTATTCAGAAAAGATTTTATTAGTACGATTTCTCTATAAAGTAGAATGAGTGGGAGTTTATAATTAAGAATGATGTTTATCTATCAATTTATCATTTTTCATTTTATAATCATAATTATTTTGAGGGTTAATTATTTAAGAAGCCTAATATATTTCTCCTTTTTATCATTTCTTTTATTGAATTAAAGCCATAAATTAGGTATAGCTAACAAAACCTTTAAATTCAATGTATGCTTAATATTAGGGTGTTGCATTAAACTTTTAATTGCTTTTGTTAAATATTTATAGCATTCTCATCCACTCGAGGGGCCTGAAACAGCCCCCTCAAGGTCTAAATTTTGATAAGATTTATTCAGTAAATTAATAAAAAAGATGAAAGTAATAGAAATTCATTATTTTATTAAAAGAATCCTACAAGAGTATTTCTGTTTAATAAGAATCAAATTCAAATAGATGCTAAGAAGTTTTTATATGAGGTTTTGACTGCTCCAAAAAAGCATTGATAACGAAAAAATTCAAGTCTAAAATAGAATTACTTCAAAGAAATCGATTTCAGATTCTAAAGGGTGTTATCGCAAATCTTAATCGAAAAATTAAGGTTTCAAAAATTGCAGGAGAAAGTTTCAAAGAAATCAAACCAACATAGACAGCGATTAGAGAAAATGAACAATACTTAATTATATTAAGGATTTGTGAATTCACTCCACCAACTTATTGGGCAGACAACCAATTACACACCAAATTTCGTTGTAAAAATGGAGATTTAACTAAAAAATATATGATTGGATAGAAATAATAAGAAATGTTTTCACTAATCAAGAGGGATAAAGATGAAAATTAATATGTTTGAAGGGCAATATAATATACCAATAAAGGCAAAAATAGTTCATCAATACATATAAATTTTCAGGAATACCCTGAGGTGCTAAAAGAAGAAGAATACTATATATACTTTGGAAAGATGTAATAAAATTAGATGTATAAGTCACAAATAAGAATAGCAGAATTGAATAAATGATAAAACTAGACAATTAATTTGGATAAATAGTTTAATATGACGATCTTTTATGAATTTACACACAAGTAATTCTGAATATGAACAGAAAATGTTAGAAGTGGGTAAAAGATTGATTGAAAAATGTTCAATGATGAAGATCAGATGGAGGATTAATATTATTTGTATCTACGACTCCTTCCATTAATAAAATGTACAAATATACCTAATTTTGGCTCTTTTGATTTATTAGGAAAGGTAGAAATTTGTAGTAAGGTTTGCTTTATAGGAAGTATATTACAATGAAATGTTAAATATTTATTCTAAAATTGAGGATGAAGGATTATATTTATATATATTCATTATATTCCTGATGATAAATATTTTGAGTTATTTAAATAAGGCAGAAGGAAATTCAAGCCTATCATAAACAAATAAATTTTAAAATATTGTGTATTACCTGTGGGCTTACTGGAATAAGGGCGGAAAATCTATAAAATTCTATTCCAAAAGTATCTATTTCAGAAATTGAAATCATAATTTTTCTTAATATGTTGAAATTAAAACTAATTAACGTCATGCTGTTAATTTTATGGAACTTTGCTAATATATTTTGGGAGCAAGAAACATGAATATGAGTTGTGCTTGAGTATGATGGTATCTTTTCTACATTAAAAATTAATTTGGCATTATTTTCCTATTTTTATTTAAACTAATAGTAGAGTTTATAAGATATAAAAAGAACAATGGTCTCAAGAAAATATTGATATACAAAAAATTAATGATTTACAATAAATTTTTAATACTAATCATTCAATTTAGGTAATTCTTCTGATCAACCCTAGTTGTTTTTTCTTTAACAATCAGTACATGTAAGTTTTATCTAAAATTCATTTATCTTGTTATTATCTTTTGGAATCAGTGTCCTCAGTTTAATATCAATAAGTTCATCATCATCCAACTTGGATTTTGCAGTTCCATTTGACCTAGTAAAATTTAGAAATTTATTCGGATTTATAAGAATTCTCTTAAATTCATTAAACGATATTAAAATTAAATCATACTCCCAAATACTGATAGCATTGAATATTTTAAGGCTTGAGATGTTAGGTCTGATTACATGATACAAAATATCCATTTGATTTGCATAGATTCTATATATATAGATGCAAGCAGGTGCATCAATTTCACTACCATAAACATATAAGAAATTTCTTGTTGCTTTAATTTTTTAGATTTTTTAAAGTTAGTAAGTTGGATATATTTGAGTTTTAAATTTGTTAATTGACATTTGGTCTGTTTTTTTTTTCATCAATTATCTAAAAAGTATTGATTTCTCAATAAATAATAATTTTTTGCTTTATTTATCCTCTGATATATCACAAGTTGATAAAATAAAAATACCTTCTTTAGTTAGTTGAACTTACAACCTTTCTTTCATTGGTAGTTTAGTTACACCGCAAATGATGGAACCTACATATTTTAATCTGTCCACAAATCTTTAGATATTATAAAGTTCAATTGTGGCATGGTATATAAAATTTCTCTCTTTTATCATTGGAAGAAAGAAGAGACCTGCATAATTTTCCTGATCATTTGCTAATTCAAATAAATTTAAACAGTTTAATTCAAGACTTTTAATTTTTATGTTGCCCATCTCATCTTATCCTCTCAAATTCAGTGTATAAACATCACCGCTTAGCTTTGTGAATACTTAAAGATATGGATATTATAAAATAGAGAGAATACTTCCTTTACTTTCTTAATAGGTGTCATAAACAGTATATGTTATTTATAATTATTCATTTTTAATTTCTATATTAACAGTAGTTACTTAGTCTCCAATAAAACTATGTTGCATATTTTAAACTATTGCAACCTAAAATGTTGAGCCATCAGTTACACAAATTAAATCTTAAATATCATCAATTTGAACAAGTATTGTTAAAGTTTTGAAACAGAGTTAATATGATTGATATTAACATTACATTACATAGAGTGATGTCCCTAATTTTACGAATAAAAAGTGTTTCCGAATGGTTTTTGGATATGAAAATACACAGGTACCTACATAATCAACCTTTTTGTACATATTATTATCAATTATTATATAATCATACTAAAAAGTTGCATCCACATACGATGGTGTAAATATGGCTTCTTTATTAACAAAATTCACATCCTCTATGTTTAAGGCTGAACCGGAAAAAACTTTACTTAAATCAATGTATGGTGTTAACTCTTTTTTAGTATACTTCAAAATGAAAACATTCTACTCTTTTTGATTATAAAATTTTGGCCAAATTTTCGTTTCATCCAACTGTTATACTTGATAGTATATTTTGGTATCTAAACATTTTATATTCAAATGATTGTCAAATGGCTCGACTTTTAGTTAAAGCAATTAAGGATTTTGTATTTCAGTAAGACCAATAATTTCTATTTTTGGTAATTGTAACTCTAAAGTATATGAAACATTTTCCTCCGCATATACGAGTTAGTTTGAGTCTGGACTAATGACATAAAATCTTGAATTTGCATAACTTTAGTAAATCAATGAAACTCCATCTCTTTTACCAACACCAATGAAATAAACTTAAAATTCCTCGTCATTTGACAAAACTAAATAAGAGTTTGTGGATACAACTTTGCGCTTGAATAATTTTTCTGACTTTAATTGATATACTTTTATAAGTTGTTATCTAGAGAATTTTGATTTTTGAATACCGTAAATTTGACTTATTTGTATATGAATAAATTTTAAAAAATCTTCACCCCAAATCACAAGAAAAATAGAGTATTCAGAGCTGGGTATATCTTTGTATGTTCTTGGAATATGTACTCCAAAAATCTATTTTTTTTCACCACTAACAACAGTAATTTCAGAACTCCATGCGATTCTCAAATTTCGAAATGTTAATCCTCTTTTGAAGCTTGTGATGAATACTATTACTATTAATATCTATCTTACCAAGCTCCTTATATAAAGCAAAGTCAGTAATGAAATCATCAGGCTGGCTTTGAACATCACATTATTTAAATATTTATATTATCTCGTTTAAATTTTCCTTTTTAGAGGTAAGAAAAAACACGATTAGTTAAGAAATTTCTGATATATACTTATCGTTTTCCATTCTGCCTTTATTAATTAAAACCCCAAAATAAAAATAATGAAATTTAACCTTGACACTTGATTCTGGAGGAATTATAATATTTGGTATGAGAATATTTTTTAATAGTTTTGTTTCTAAATGAAATATCGTGAACTCGAGTTGATTTGTAACATTATCTTTGCATGTTACTAAATAATAATCATCTTCATAATTTATTTAATAGCATTGCTCTTGTTTGATAATGAATTCAACATCATAATATATTATCTCCTCATCAGTGACAAGTTAGCAATTAACTAGACTATAAACTATTTATTTATTCTAAGTAGATCTTAAAAAGCAATAATAATTGCTATTGTATTATGCTTTATTTTTAACAATTACATCAATAACTTCATCTTGAATAATACTATATCTAGTTTTTCTTATCAAATGTGTCCACGGAAAAGCTACCTATTGATTAGAATCACTTATCGTTTAATAGACCAGGTCATCTGCAAATCCATAGTCAAATAAATGGAATTCAAAATTTTCGCCACTTGCAATTGTTATTAAAGCACTTTCCATTTATTTTGACTAATTATGTATAAAAAAAACTTTACTTTGCATTATTCTTCACTATTTCCAAAAACTTGAATGATAATGAATACTAAATAAATCCATTTAATTCTCATTTAAAATAATTAATATATAATTTCAATATATAATAATGCAAATTTCAATTTTTGTTTATATGTATATAATATTTTTTATTATGTATTTTCTTTTGTGTTATGAATCATAATGATTTGCATACCAATCAGCTTTAAAGAGTTTTAACAATATTAGAGAAGAAACATGATAGAAGTGCTTCCACTAATACAAATCCTAAAAAAAATGCTGAGGGACCTTTAGGTTAGGATAAATGTAGATTAAAGTTAATAATTAAGGATTGCATAGATTTTATAAGCACAGAATAATAATGTATCAGATTCCATTAAATTCTAATGTCTTACAGATATTCAATAGACCTACCAGATTTAGATAACATTTTGGAATGAATTATTAGATACAAATTAAAAAATTGGATTAAGATTGCAAGAAGATAGTAGATGTATATAAAAGCTGATTGGAAAATTAGCATTTAAAAAAATGATTATTATATTTAAGAGATGGAATTTTAAGGCATAAGCCATTTATAATAAATTCAACAGTCGAAGAATTGTAAAGCAATCAAGAAGAAAAGGATTATTGTTATTTTTAGAATATAATTTCACCCTAAAATTTGGAATAAATATTATTAAAAGGCAAAATAAGTCGATTAACTTAACAAAACTATATAATTTTTAATGGTCAATTCTTTTTTATGCTATAATAATTATAGAAGGAGAAGCGTATTGATAACGCAAGGAGGAAAGATTGCAAAAGCTATGGAAACAAATCTTAGAAGGATAGTTGCAGAATATGATTATAATATCTAGCTAAATTATTCAGATTCTTATCGAATTTATTCAACCACATGAGAACAACTGCAGGTTTAAATCTTGCTCTTTTGGAATGAAAATCAGAATTTTAATTCTCAATACAGGTTTATGAAATTTGAAATTTTTTCTAACTAATAAAATAATAATTTTACATAAAGAAATGTATGTAAAATAATGGACGATCTATTTTATTATTGATCTCATTTAAACTTAAGTACTCTAGTGTGTTTAAGCAGGTGCTAAGATTATTTGACCTAAATGATAGAATTAGCGAGACTGTGTTGAGGTTGATCTAGAAAACTTTATTTAATGCTGTTTGTTATTATGTTATATTGTTAATAACTAGAACCTTAAAAGACTTTATATAAAACTTAATCAAAATTTAGTTGGGAATTGAGATCTAAGCTAACAGACTAACATTTATCAATATAAATTAGTTTAATTAATGAAAATATCATATAAAATTATTTTTCCAAAGGAGGAATCACTCATTTAATCATCATTAATAAAATCACAAATGCGTTATTGATTTCCTCAACTTGTAGAATCCAATGAAGGATCAGAAATTCAAATAGAAAAATATTGGATTCGTAGCTTCATAGTAATTTATTAAACTTACTGAGTAGTGAGAACAGGAACTAATAATAGTGCTATATTAATAAGGATTGAAATAAGGAAGATAAAATAATTCTAATTGAATGACCTAAAGATTGTAGTAGATTATTAAGAATCTAAATCAGAAAATTGGTAATAGCTTATTCAATCCCTTCATCAAAGATAATAGGATATTTACCTAAACAGAAAACATAATCATCTCTGTTGGCTAATATTTTATAAGTGACTAAAACTCTTTGAGAAGATTGTCCTTTAAAAATTAAAAAATGCATTTTATAAGTTAGTGACTAGTAAATGCATGGGCACGATAAAGTAGAAAAATCTAATTGGAATACAACCATTTATTGTATTATTAATGTGGTTTGCAAAATTTAATTATTCAAAATGAAAAATTTTAGGGTTCTCAACGTCCAGTTTTGAAACTTAAACCCTCCATAATAAAATATAGACCTTTTACAAAAAAATAAATAATATGAAGCTCATTGTTTTCCAATATCGATATGCAAAAAAGAAATATATCTTCAAATTTTTTAGAGTTATGAACTTAATTATTGCCAAACGAGTAATTAGCAGGAATGTCCTAATTTAAAAATGGATAACACCTATTTGAATTACATAAATGTATCAACATTAATAAAACTGTTTTTAGGATTTATTGATTCAAAATTCAGCTGTCGTGAAAAGGAATTATTTAATCATTTTTTAATGTAAATTTTCGATCAATCAAATAAATTAATGATAGGCAATAAAAATATAATTCGACATCATTAATAAAAAGAGATAACTAGAAATATTCGGTTCAAAGCTATAGAATTTGAATTTTAATATTTTGTCTATATATTTATTTTTTAGGTGAGCTTTAATTTTTTAAATAATTAATACATCTATGTAATTTTATAGTAAATGAATTATGGATATTCAATGAGCGGAAACAATAACAATGTATAATTTAATCATTAGAGAAAATACTTTAATTAAATTATCAAATTTAATTCTACTGAAAATTAAATGGGAAGGAAGGAAAATATATAGGTTAAAATTCAATTAAGAGGAGGAAAAATTGAAGAGAACAGAAATTGCAAGCATAGTATTTTACCAATTTTGATTTTTAAAGCTATACTGATGGCGGCACAAAACTAATTATTTAATTAAATTTATAAACCATAGATGATGGAAAAAGTGAAAGATTTTATTTGTTCCATGAAACATTAACTACCAATTAGTATGGTTGTTCTAGATCATAAATGTGAACAAAATAAAAGATTGTTATGCCGCCAATGTTTTGGGTATTAAGATTCAGATGTGAAGAAGGTAGAATTTGAAAAACTCATCTAAACGATCGAAGATGATAAGAAGATATAATTAGAAAACTTGGAAACTATGATTGAACCAATGATAAAAAAAATTTAGTCACTTTTAGATCATCTATATACTTTGAAGAATTTTCTAGTTTTAAATTAGATCAAATTATGGACATCTCATAGAATTGGATATCAAATTTATAATCATTAGGTTTAAGGTTATAAGAGTATAGTCTCTTTAAAGAATTAGACATCATAACCATGAATTAAAAATCAAATGAAAGTGATTAGATTTATCAAAATAACGTACTTACATTATCTTTCATGAAAAAATCCAAATAGTTTATATTAGGAGATGAGGGTGGATCTATTATAATTTGGTCAAGCAATAACAATAATTAATGGAATTGTTCATAAACAATTTAAGCACATAATAAGTCGATTCGATACTTAATTTTGAATAATAAAGAAGATCTATTTATATCAAGTAGTGCAGATGAAACTATAAAATTTTGGGTTAAACAAAATGATTGGATCTGTTCATAAACTATCACAGATCATAATGATAATGATAATATCTATTAATTAAGTTTAATTATTAAGAAAATAAAGTTATTTCTTGTGGAACTGATAATTAATATTAGTAATTGAGTACTCTGAATTAAATAAAAAGTGGATTGTTATTTAAAATATTAAAGTTGAAGAAATGGGATATCGTATCTGCTTTATCAACAATAATTAATTCATCTTTCAACCTGCAATAAGCAATTTAATGCATGTCTGCGAAATCAATAATATATCTAAATAGTTCGCTAAAACTAAAGATATTGTTGTTAATCAATATTTTATTAGAAATTCAGGTGGGTTATTTCCATAATAAATTTATGAAATAAAAATAATTATTAGTGAGAAGCTGATCAATTTGAAGTGGAGTAATCTATTCTATTTGACAGTGAAATTATATATGGGTAAATGAGTGATGATGGAGAGTAGTTGATTACTTGGGATTAAAAATCTTAATAAATACAAATCAGAAAGTATACAGAACAACGAAGAATAATATCCTAAATATTAAAAATTTATAATTTATTTTTGACTGAAAGTCGATATTTTCCGAATAGATTTAGGAATATTTAAATTGAAACATAAAATAACTAATATCCAGTTGAAAATACTTATTTTTTTGTCTGCAGTATTTTTATAAGCAAATAATAGCAGAATTTCCAATTGATGATATTCATCAGTACACAGTAATTATTTAAATAATAAGGATATTATTAACTAGACCTGATAATGATAGACTACCCAAAGAGTTTAAGAGCATAATTTTTTGAATAATATCCTCCATTTATAAATCAAAATTGAAAAAGGCAAAATTTTTAGATTGTTGTATGACTGGAGTCTCAAGTTCAACCGCATTGTCTTTAGATTTCTTAAAACAAAAAATAATGATAGATTGTCCTAATAATGGCTCAATGCTTCTAGATTTTGGATTCCCTTAAAACCAGTATTTTTTGGAAACCAAATATTTTTCTCCTTATTTGATTCTGCAGAAAGATGTGTAAGATTGTTTTCGAAAATTTGTATTCTGTTCTTTATATATAAACCATCTGGTGTATCGAAAATCTTTAAGTTATCATAATTTGATTTAAAAATCAATTCTACATCATAAGTGATACAACTTATTATTGCTATTTCTAATTCTATAGACTTCTTTGATCGTTGAACTTAGCAATAGCTCCAGATGCTAATATTTATCCTATGCATTATTCGATATTTTTCTATTTTAGTCTCTGTCTTCTTGTGATACTTTCACTCTCCAATCATTGATATTTCTATTAAAATGCTACTATTAATTATTATATAATAATAAAATTAATTTTCCTTAATCACTATTTCAATATCATAATTAAAATTTTTTTGTAAAATATTAGCTGATAAAAATTATTAAATTAAATAAATTTAGATCTAAAAGGGAATCATTTCATTTCCTTTCAATATTTAATTTTTTCACTTCTTATCTTGTTGTAGGAGAAGAAAAATAATTTCTAATTTCTTTTGATAACTACTAATATTGATATCCTTAAAAATTTTAAGCATTTCCATATGCTTATTTATATTTATCACCCTATTTTTAATTTTAATTTTAATTATTCTGATTTGAATAGACTGACTGAAAATTATTATTAGTTGTAAAATAGTTGCAATTTTAAGGTTACTGATTTTAAAATACATTTTATTATTACTAAACAGTATTTTCATTGATTCTATTACTGCATGGATTAGGCTATAAGTAATTTTAAGGCCTTTAGAGAACTTACTGTTTTTGATAATATTGTATCTAATTTTGAATTATTCCTTATTATAATCCTTATTATTATTATTAAAAACATTTTTCTCCATATTAATTTTAAGGATTTAAACAAATCTGCTTGTAAAATTATTTGTTAATCTATGGACTTTTTGATTATGTTTTAACTGCCTAATTTTAATTAAGGGTTCTTCCTTGGATAAAATTGTTTGGTGGATTTTAATTTGCAAGTTCAACCAAATTTGGTTTTGGCAATCCGTTCAATAAATGCAAAGGTAGTTGTATTTAACACTCAGAAAAACTACGAGAATTTGGTTATGCTCTTATATTCAGATTGGGCTTCTTTAATGATTATCCTCTCAAGGCTGAGATAACCTAATCAATACTATACCTTTTTGTAGTATCTATTTGCAGCATATCTAAGAGAAGAGTTCTATGTTTCCTTTCTATTTTCAAATTTTAATTAATTTTTCTTTCAATATCTGCCTAAGTCGTAGATTTAATTTTAAACCGTACAACTTATTCATTATGACCTAAATTAAATCATAAATTACCATCAAACAATAGTTCCCGAGTCAATAATTCATATATCAAAACTGCAAAAGCCCATATATCAACTTTTTATGAGTATTTACAATTCTATCCACTCACTTATTCTGGAGCAAGATATTAAGCAGTACCAACTCTATAAGTTTTAAGATCATTTGAATTTTTTATTGTGCCAAAATCATAAATCTTATATATATCTTATGTTTTTCCGTTCTCATAAACCTAAAAAATCAATATATTTTCAGTTATAATATTTCGGTGTGCATAACCTAAATCATGGATTTCTTTAATCCCATTCCCTATTTGCTTCATTATGTATCTTACTTCATCTGGTTGGATTGTACCTTTGCGTATTATCCGATCATATAAGTTTTCTTTACCATATTCCATTACTATAAAATACTTTCTACCTATTAGTTCAAAATTAAGAATATTGACCAAGTTTTTATAAGTTTTTTTTCTCATAATTTACAATACCTTTAATTCATCTTCATTTATACTATTTTATATCTTTATCGCTATTATTTATTTTGATTATTTATTTTCCCCTCTAAAAACCATTCCATAAGCACTTGAATGAAGGAGTTCTATCAAAACGTATGTAATTTGTACTATTTTAACTTCATCACCTTCTCTCATTTCTATTTCTATTAGAATTAATTTAATATTTAGTTTTATTAATCTTAGAATTGCAATAACCCCTATATATATTTTAAGAATATTCCTAATAGAATTAAAAAATTCAATAAATTAATAAATAAAAATTAGTAAATAGATTTTTTAATAGAAATATGAGAAATATAATTTTGAATAAAAGATGAAAATGCGTGAAACTAGATCGTAAAAATCATGAGAAAATTTATATGTTGTAATTCATTTTTAAATACAATTAAAAAAGGAGATGTTAATTAATCATTGAAAAATTTTTGGATGAATAATTTAATTTGGAGAGACTGAAGAAAAGAAGAAATAATCAAGCTTTTACTTGATTTACTATTTTTCTTCGGTATTATTAATTGATGAGAATAGTCTTAAGGAAATTAAGATATTTTCTAAAAGATAATAAAAGTATCGGATGAAAAAAGAGGTTGAAAACCAATTATAAATGTAGAATAATACATCTTTGAAAAAAATTAATTAATACAGATGGCAGCAGAAGAATATTTTTCTAGAATTCTCCTTTAATTCTAGTTATTACAATCAATACGAATAGTACTTTTTATCTTTTTAAGAAATTTTCTTATTATATTGTAGATAGGATTAAATGTTAATGTTTACAAATTAAGAATATAAAGAAAGTTACCTAACCTACATAAGATATTGTTATGTGTAGTTAGACTGTAGTAAATCAAATAATGAGATAAAAAAGATTGCGGGAATACAAAACTATGTGTGGAAATTTTAAAGACCTAATGCCCAAATGATTGATTTATCCAAAGCAAAGCGCATAGAATTTAAGAATATAAATTGAGAACAAATATAATTATAATCTAAGAATTCAGTAGTAAATTAGAGGCAATAACATAACAAGAAGGAAGTAAATGGTACAATTCATACATTCAGGTTTTCTGAAATTTGTTATGAACTCGTAGAATAATACATTTGAAGGATAATGGTAGAGATTCAGGTAGGATTGTAGTTTTGGGTTTTGAGTATGGCGATTTATTCAAATTATCATCGCAATTCCAAAGAAGAAGTTTATCAAAGATGAACGATCTATTTTATTATAATTCCAGTCGCTAACAAATTTTATTTATGAGAAGTTTAGCATTTTTTGCAGTTTAAATATTTAAAAGGAAATAATCAAGAACATTCTTTGTACAAACTTCAGAATGAATGGAAAAATATATATATTCTATTAACCTCAATCTTAAGCAATTGGAATATAGGAACATAATAAATTAGTTGTATTAGTTATATAATGGTAGTTGATTTGAAACGGAAGCCAATCCATAGATACATTTTTATTTTGCTGCTACTTTTATAGTCCTTAGACATGGGGTAGAAATAACAAAATTGACTAATCCCTAAAAAGTTTTGATATCATATATTAAAAAATCTAGTTTTGAAAATTAGTTAAAAAAGTAGAAGTCATTCAAACTAAAGGTATCATTAAAGACATTATTAAACCTTATTATAAAAATAACCGTCTTATTCAGAAGCCATATCTATACATAAACTTTCTACCCCACTGAGCAAGGGTTTAAATGACTTAGCCTCAAACAAGATTCAGATTCAAAACTCAATTATGTAATAGTTCAATCACTGAAAATCACCAGATCAAAAATTTACATAATTTTGGTTCATGTAGATTCTTATTATGTATACCGCTCTTTTGAAACTATTAGTTTTCATCAATTTAATGAGAATTTATACGATTGTTCTTTTTTCACATTTCATTTGCTAACTAACCATAATAATATTTTTGTTAAAGAACAGTGAAAGATCTACTGAATGAGTCATAACCAGAGATGAAATTCTGTATGGTTTAGTTGCTTCAAAAGAGATATTTTTTATTAGGTATGGCTTCAATATGAGAGTTTATACTTTCGGAAATCAAAAAATTTAGAATTGAGCAGAGGAAATTAAAAGTCTAAATTCAAGTATTATTTCAACAGGGGTCAAGAATAGAATTTTGATTCCTGAAGTTGCTGATTCTATTCATCTTCTTACATATAATATTAAGGATAAGAATACTATATAGATAAAAGTATAGTGCTAACAGAGAAATGGTTAAAATGGGACACATAAACCAAGAATTTTCTTACTTCTAATAAAAAACTAAGTTAATTATAAATTAATTGAAATGGCCAATACAGGTTTTCTTTTTTTTAAATCTTCATTGTCAGTGAAACTCAATCTCATGTATGCTCCTTTTGTATTAAACATCAAAATTACTTTTTTTAACTTGTTAAGCCATAGTTTCCTCCCCCTAAACAATATCTTTGCTTGTGTCAATAATAAGCAATCAATACCTATAAAGTAGCTCCAGTAATCTCATTTATTATTACTCCAAAAAACAAAAATAATATTATAGTTTGAAATATAATTAATAAATTATTTCTAGTATCAATTTTGACACAATAGGTTTTATGATATTATCAAATCATTAAAATTGAAAATTCAAATGTTAGAGCCTTGCTTGTAAATTCAATATTAACTCTTTTTGAGATGCAGATGGAGTATCAGTAATGATGAGGGAAGATGGAAGATTTATTACAGAGTTTTTTAATATAACCTCATAGAATACAATTTAATAATAGGAAAAAAGTAAACTCAAATAAGCAAATTTTAAATAATAATATTAAAAAATAGAAAACTAATAATCTTAACAGAAAGACAAAAAAAATAGGTGAAAATATTTATTAAATAAGAAAGTATTGATCTGTAAACTGAAAATATTCAGTTTATAGAAAGCGATGATAAATATATAATACATATAATTGNTTATAAAAATAACCGTCTTATTCAGAAGCCATATCTATACATAAACTTTCTACCCCACTGAGCAAGGGTTTAAATGACTTAGCCTCAAACAAGATTCAGATTCAAAACTCAATTATGTAATAGTTCAATCACTGAAAATCACCAGATCAAAAATTTACATAATTTTGGTTCATGTAGATTCTTATTATGTATACCGCTCTTTTGAAACTATTAGTTTTCATCAATTTAATGAGAATTTATACGATTGTTCTTTTTTCACATTTCATTTGCTAACTAACCATAATAATATTTTTGTTAAAGAACAGTGAAAGATCTACTGAATGAGTCATAACCAGAGATGAAATTCTGTATGGTTTAGTTGCTTCAAAAGAGATATTTTTTATTAGGTATGGCTTCAATATGAGAGTTTATACTTTCGGAAATCAAAAAATTTAGAATTGAGCAGAGGAAATTAAAAGTCTAAATTCAAGTATTATTTCAACAGGGGTCAAGAATAGAATTTTGATTCCTGAAGTTGCTGATTCTATTCATCTTCTTACATATAATATTAAGGATAAGAATACTATATAGATAAAAGTATAGTGCTAACAGAGAAATGGTTAAAATGGGACACATAAACCAAGAATTTTCTTACTTCTAATAAAAAACTAAGTTAATTATAAATTAATTGAAATGGCCAATACAGGTTTTCTTTTTTTTAAATCTTCATTGTCAGTGAAACTCAATCTCATGTATGCTCCTTTTGTATTAAACATCAAAATTACTTTTTTTAACTTGTTAAGCCATAGTTTCCTCCCCCTAAACAATATCTTTGCTTGTGTCAATAATAAGCAATCAATACCTATAAAGTAGCTCCAGTAATCTCATTTATTATTACTCCAAAAAACAAAAATAATATTATAGTTTGAAATATAATTAATAAATTATTTCTAGTATCAATTTTGACACAATAGGTTTTATGATATTATCAAATCATTAAAATTGAAAATTCAAATGTTAGAGCCTTGCTTGTAAATTCAATATTAACTCTTTTTGAGATGCAGATGGAGTATCAGTAATGATGAGGGAAGATGGAAGATTTATTACAGAGTTTTTTAATATAACCTCATAGAATACAATTTAATAATAGGAAAAAAGTAAACTCAAATAAGCAAATTTTAAATAATAATATTAAAAAATAGAAAACTAATAATCTTAACAGAAAGACAAAAAAAATAGGTGAAAATATTTATTAAATAAGAAAGTATTGATCTGTAAACTGAAAATATTCAGTTTATAGAAAGCGATGATAAATATATAATACATATAATTGTAATGTCAATTTAATATGAAGAAAAAAATTTATGATTAATTATAAATTTCTATTATTCATTAATACAATTGATTCTCGCAAAATTCTAATTTTATAAGTTAACATACCTTTTTAATATTTTGAATATTAATCGTTTGGATTAATCAGTAATGATTTCTCAAAATAAATCAGAGCTTTTGCAAAATCTCTTAAATATAAGTTTACTTAGATTGAGGATAAACAATCCCCTAAATATAAAATGATATGATACCATTAGATTAAAGTGAAAAAATATGATAAGGATTGACGCAGAGTGCTTAATCCAACAATTAATTGATTAATTATATTTTTTCACTAATCTTAGGCATTCCCCTATTATTTTACTTTTAAGTTAATCTACCTTTTCACTTAAGGAATTTACATGCTTAGGATCATTAATTAATTCTTAGTCCAACCATATAATTGCATTTTAGTATTGATTTAAATTTCTTAAACATGTACCTATAAATTTAGGTAATATTTTTAATTAACCTTATTCACTAAAGGAATTAACATGCTTAGAATCAATCGCTAATGCTTTATCAAACCAAATGATGGCATCCTGATATTTATTTAAACTTCTTAAACAAGTACCTATAAATTTGTTAAAAATTCAACCTACCTTTCTCAAAAACAGCATTAATATGCTTAAAGGTTAGTAGTTAATAATTTGTCCAACCAAATTATTGCATCCTCATATTGATTTAAATTTCTTAAACATTAACCTATTAATGCAAATATAACTTAAACTACCTTTTTCAAATAGAGAATTAACGAGTTAAGGATTAGTAGCTAATGCTTTTTCCAACCAAGAGATTGCATACTCATATTAATTTAAATTTCTTAAACAGGTACCTATTAAATTTTGCTAAGATTTTAATTTACCTTTATCACTTAAAGAAAATACATACTTAGGATTAATAGCTAACGCTTTGTCCAACCAAGCTATCCTCGTATTTATTAAAATGTCTCATATATAGATAATTCTACTATGTTCATAAACTTGTACCTATTATTATTTTTAGTATTATTACCCTTACACCATAAGGATTAATGATTATTAGGATTTTATTCTATTGTAATTTCTAACGTTTCTAATGCTTCAGTATATTAATTCATCCAATAAATCATAACCTAAAGAAATATATCAATATATTTACCTTTAGCATATAATTCTTTTGATAATATGATAGAAATATCATCCTTCTAATAATAATTGAATGATGATAATTTTAATTATTCAAGTAAATTATTAAAAGTATTATTTAATTTCTGAATCTAATCTGAAATGATGGGAGTAATTGATTGTTTATATTCAATTAATTTGATGTTTGAATTCAAATCGTCATTTATTTGCTATGAATTTAAACTTGCTATTCTTTCTTTTTACAATGAATATTTAAAACTGATCCCCTTTTTAATAAAAAAAAGAATGATTGATTCAAACTACCCACATATTTCTTAAGATCTTCAATCAAATTCTCACATTCTTTATTTTTATATTCAATGAATGCACTTAAGGTGTTGATTTTTTCAACATCATCAAAATGATCTTTATGGATTTTTTCCTTCTTAAGACATTTAAAGCAGTTTAATTTAAACTATATACAATACTAGTTATAGCAAATTGTATCTATTTTAACTTAATGATCATCTTGTTTACATTTAAACTTTAAATTAGATTACTAAATAATTTTTAATATTTTATATCTAATACATATTCATTCACATTGGAATTTCAATTATTTTAACTCTATAAAATCATAATGTTTATCAATATTCTTACTCAGAGGAAATAAAATAGACACTATCAGTCGCGGTTGTGAAGATTGAATATTCCTAATTCTCTATTCATCTGCAGCAAATTAAAAATGAAATCACATAATTTAAATTCTATTTATTAGTTGTAGTTCAAAGCTTGAAAGTAACTCAAACTCCTTTTGGAGTAACTTTGTTCAAATCAAATTAAAAAGAAATGGCTTTATAGAAGCCCAAACATATTGGGTAGCCTTAATATTAAAGCCTATTCGGTATATTTTATTATTGCTAGGTAAAGTTACAGTGTTTTATCAAAGAATTATTTTCACTAGTAAGATAATTTTACTTTAAGAACTATAATATAATAAAAGATATACCTAATAATCTAAATAGAAATCATTCAAAAAAAAAAAATTTGATAAATTAATTCAATAATCTTCATTTCTTAACTAAGTTTCCTATTTTATAATATTTTTTTCAAGTTTAATTTATCTAGTGGAATTGATATTCCTAAAATATAAAAAAAATCATTAAATATAAATAAATCATTTAATTCTTAGTTTTGGATAATTAAAAATTTATGCTAAAAAATTATGTTAAATATATTATCCTTTCATGTCAGTTATTTTTAGAGAAATAAAATAATTTAGAACTAAATTTATTGCCTTAATCATAACAAGTAACATTAGAAATATAAACGAAAATAATTACAGGGATTTCTGCCATTTCACTTTTCAATAACTAATTATATATCAATTGTAAAGAATGTATTGGAGACTTCGATACTTAACTGCAGTAAAACTTATTCCTGCCTATATAATCCCATCGATAAGTTCTTGTGATATTGTAAGCTTCATTAAATTATTTGAATTGTATCATAATGAATTGGCTCTAATTTTTTTTTCAGAAATTCGTTTTACAAATTTGTAAGATTATTTATCTCCTTTTCTGTTAAATTTATGGTACATGTTAAGAAGAAATTATACCAGAAAAAATTTTAATCCTCAAATGAATGTCTAGATCAAATTATACTCTAATTTACAATATAAGGGTTAAAAATATGATTAATATTTATAAATTTGGAAAAAAACTCTAAATTGTTTAAGCATGTTTCATTTACTGTGAAAACTATATATAATTTATTGTTAGTAATATCAATTATGAACTACCAATCTTATCGTTGAGAATTTTCGAAATTAGAAGAATAGAGTTGTTAAGTGAACAGGGAAATAATTTTAAGATATAAAGAATGTAGTTTACTATTTTAATAATGTCTGAATTGTTGGTTGCTTTTATGAAAATATTTATCTTCAAGATTATAATAAGAGACGATATAAACTTTGTATATTAAAATTTAATCAATAGAAATGATCAAAAAGGATGAAAATACTAGCAAAAATAATCTAAATATCACTACTTACAAATTAATCTCTTCAATAAACGTAAAATAGTCTTAATATACCTATATTAAAGTAAGATATTAGCTTAATATCCCGTATAAGTACTGAATAATATTTAGAGAACAAAACATATCAAATTCATATCTAAAATTTGATCAAGCTAAAATCAAAATTAATATGTTTACAAGAAAGAAATATGAGAGAAAAATTAAAACTATAATTTAATTTAAATGTAGATTATCATAAATCTATGAGGTGTCTTTTCATTATTATGATATAAAGTCTTTTATGTGAAATATATTATTGTTATGATATCGAAGATGATGAAAGATGTGAATAAACTATTAGATCAGGGCAGGACTTTTTATTTGGCCATAGTATTTATCTTAATAAATTGATAACTTTGGTTCATCCAACATAANAAGATAATTTTACTTTAAGAACTATAATATAATAAAAGATATACCTAATAATCTAAATAGAAATCATTCAAAAAAAAAAAATTTGATAAATTAATTCAATAATCTTCATTTCTTAACTAAGTTTCCTATTTTATAATATTTTTTTCAAGTTTAATTTATCTAGTGGAATTGATATTCCTAAAATATAAAAAAAATCATTAAATATAAATAAATCATTTAATTCTTAGTTTTGGATAATTAAAAATTTATGCTAAAAAATTATGTTAAATATATTATCCTTTCATGTCAGTTATTTTTAGAGAAATAAAATAATTTAGAACTAAATTTATTGCCTTAATCATAACAAGTAACATTAGAAATATAAACGAAAATAATTACAGGGATTTCTGCCATTTCACTTTTCAATAACTAATTATATATCAATTGTAAAGAATGTATTGGAGACTTCGATACTTAACTGCAGTAAAACTTATTCCTGCCTATATAATCCCATCGATAAGTTCTTGTGATATTGTAAGCTTCATTAAATTATTTGAATTGTATCATAATGAATTGGCTCTAATTTTTTTTTCAGAAATTCGTTTTACAAATTTGTAAGATTATTTATCTCCTTTTCTGTTAAATTTATGGTACATGTTAAGAAGAAATTATACCAGAAAAAATTTTAATCCTCAAATGAATGTCTAGATCAAATTATACTCTAATTTACAATATAAGGGTTAAAAATATGATTAATATTTATAAATTTGGAAAAAAACTCTAAATTGTTTAAGCATGTTTCATTTACTGTGAAAACTATATATAATTTATTGTTAGTAATATCAATTATGAACTACCAATCTTATCGTTGAGAATTTTCGAAATTAGAAGAATAGAGTTGTTAAGTGAACAGGGAAATAATTTTAAGATATAAAGAATGTAGTTTACTATTTTAATAATGTCTGAATTGTTGGTTGCTTTTATGAAAATATTTATCTTCAAGATTATAATAAGAGACGATATAAACTTTGTATATTAAAATTTAATCAATAGAAATGATCAAAAAGGATGAAAATACTAGCAAAAATAATCTAAATATCACTACTTACAAATTAATCTCTTCAATAAACGTAAAATAGTCTTAATATACCTATATTAAAGTAAGATATTAGCTTAATATCCCGTATAAGTACTGAATAATATTTAGAGAACAAAACATATCAAATTCATATCTAAAATTTGATCAAGCTAAAATCAAAATTAATATGTTTACAAGAAAGAAATATGAGAGAAAAATTAAAACTATAATTTAATTTAAATGTAGATTATCATAAATCTATGAGGTGTCTTTTCATTATTATGATATAAAGTCTTTTATGTGAAATATATTATTGTTATGATATCGAAGATGATGAAAGATGTGAATAAACTATTAGATCAGGGCAGGACTTTTTATTTGGCCATAGTATTTATCTTAATAAATTGATAACTTTGGTTCATCCAACATAATAACACTATCTAATAGGATGAAAATTGAATTTTGAAGTGAATAAAGAAATAAAATAAATTTATAATTAGAATGTTCATAAAATGTAATCTTAAAATTAGATATAAGGAAAATAAGAATTATAATATATTAGTGAGTGATTTATGTTGTAATATTGATTGAAATTTATGGTAAAGGGTGGATAAATTGAATATATTTTTTAATAAATTGATATTGTATGTGAAGTAATTTTAATAGAATTCAGATAATTGAAATAAAAGTGTGAGTGAATGATGATAAATTTAATATCAAATATAAATAAAATGATTTAATAAGGATGCTTGAAGTTAAAATGTTAAGAAGTTAACCATAACGAAGAAATTGATTTTATTTGTTATTATGAGTTTTGTACTGGATTTCGATTAAATTGTTTTGATTGTTTTAAAAAGGGAATCCATCATACTCATTCTGACGATGTTAAGAAAGTTAACAGTTTGATTCCATTTATTGAAACTAACAATTTAGTTTGTGAAAATTTTATTGATGATCTTAACAAATACTTAGAAACTCTGAATCAATCATTCTCTTAATTTACTTAAGGAATAAGAAATAAATATTCATTAGTAAAAGAAAGGTTAGTGAATATGAATACTTACTAAATTAATGATTATTTGAATTAAACTATTAAGTTTACTGAATATAAAGAATCAATTACAAAAATTGTTAAGGATTAGATTAACAAATTAAATCATTCATTTAATAATTTATATGAATAATTATAATTAACTTCCTTTAATTATTATTAAATTGATTAGAATGATGTTAAAATACCTGATGATCTATCCAATTAAGGTAATGGTGATATCATTTTCTTTTTAGGTGTAAAGTTATATTGGGAAAATAGATATAATGAGGCTTTAGAATAATTTGATGAGTCTATTTTAATAAATCCTAATAATAAGGAATCTTTATGTTATAAAGGTTTACATAATTAAATAATTAATAGGTTTATGTTTAAAGATGTTAGAAAAATACGAAGAAGCAATCACTTGGTTGGACAAAGCAATAGCCGTGGATCCAATAGATTTTTATTCCTTAAGTAATAAAGGTAAATTTCATAAGCCTGATATAAATAGGTTTATGTTTAAAGATGTTAAATGAATACGAAGATGCAATCATTTGGTTGGATAAAGCATTAGCTATTGATTCATAAGATGTTGATTCTTTATGTATTAAAGGTAGATTTCTTCATCATATTAATAGGTTAATGCTTAATGAGCTTAAATAGATACGAAGATGCAATTATTTGGTTGGACAAAGCATTAGCTATTGATTCAAAAGATGTTGATTCCTTATGTACTAAAGGTAGATTTCATCATCCTTATATAAATAGGTTAATGTTTAAGACGGTTGAACTAATATGAGTAAACTAAATAAGTCCTCCATTAAGCACTCTCGCTCAATCCTAACCACATATATAGTCTTAATAGCCTAGGTATGTGTTGATTAATATTCAGGAATCTGCTTACAAGAGTAAAAGAAATATTCAGAAGCCCTGATATATTATGAAAAAAGTTTAAACCTAGAATCAAATAATTAATGGATCAAAAATTAAAAGAGTACTTGTGTTTTGTTAATATAGTATTTTGTGAATAATAATTGAAAAAATGACTAATCCAATGTTATTTAGACTAGATTTTCTATTGATTATTATTAATATCAAAGAAATTCTATTCCAAAACCTAAAATTATGTTAATTTAACCATTTCTATAAAATTATAATATTTATCCAATATTTTATGTTCATCATTATCATACATATTCTCTATATTAAATTTATATTGACTTTATTTAAAAATTACTCTTCTCTAACAATAATTTCATTACCAAATGTATATATAGTTTGAATTTAGCGTTAATAATGATTAATACTGATTGATGTTAAATTATATGTCATTATGAACGGCCTTTTGGTATTTCAAGATTCATTCTTGATACGCATGGATGTTTGGATATTTCGATGACTTGAAAGATCTATACACACAAATCATTTCCTAATCAAATGAAATTCTTGCCATTTCCTCAAACTATAAGATTTTATTCAGATGTCCCACTATTCTTACTAAATCATCCTAATTATTGGTAACTTTGACAAAAGTGGGAGAACATTTTGTTTCTGAGATATTTCTTATTAAAATCAATTTAGCTCATTATTCCCTGGTTACTTGTAAATAGCAATGTCAGAGCCATCATAAAGAGCATCTAAAATTGCGGTAGAACTCACCATTATATTTTATAATGGAATGGTATCTTCATTTTCTAGTTGGGGTTGGGGTTGGGGGTGGGGTGGGGGTTGGGGGTGGGG